CCCAGAGAGCAGCAGAGGAGTAGGCACCCTGGGCGGCCGCTCTCGTGCCAGTCAGGTGGGCTGCTCACCCGTGGGCTGCTCACCCGTGGGCTGCTCACCCGTGGGCTGCCTCCCGCTGGGCCTTGGCTGACCCCTCTTCCTCAGGGTTCCTGCTCTCCTGCGGCTCACAGCCCTATTCTCCCTCCTAGAGTTTCAGCATTTCATTTTCCTCCCTGTTCTGTTTCTTGTTAATAGTTCATTTTTCCTTTTATGCTTGTAGCTTCTCATCTCCTTGTTATTTATCTTAATCTCGTCTCCAACGTGCCTCCTTCATTCTTCCCTTTGAGTTGATTTTATTGTCTTTTAAACTGCATCCGATTTCAAGTGTAATTTGGGTTTACTTTTTATTAAACTTTTATCATCTTTATGATTAGAATTTCCGTTTTTGTCCTGAGCTTGTAAACTTGACCTGTGGAATCGGCTAGTGTTTTACGGTGACGGCATTCCCTGTCTTTTGACTCCTGCGTGGGCTCTGGTTTCAGGGACACAGGGAGTAGCTTTCCTATGTGAATCATGGAGCTGATGAGTCACTCCTGTGCTGGGAGCAAGGCCATGCTTCCCACTGGGCACTGGAGCATCTTCTCCCCGTCACACACGCACCGATGGGCTCCACGGCGCCTTCTCTCCCGGGCCCTGCTCTCATGCCCCTCTCCTGGGTCTACCAAAACTGAAACCCCATCGACAGTGCTGCACCTTCAGCCATTGCTGCTGCTCTTTGCTCAGCTTTTCAGGGAAACCCACAGCCTCTGCTCCCTCCAGGCCTCCTTCCCCTGGATGTCACTCAGGCACTCGGGCCTGACTTCTGTGGAAAGATCACAATGCATCCTGCTCATCCCTCCCTCTGCCCATTGTTGGCCTGACCCCTGATTATGTAATAATGAGCACCTGCAGGCTCCCCTGCCCCAGATGACGGGCCACACACACACACAGCCTGCCGAGGGTGGAGGAACCAACAGCAAGGTAAGCTTCAAGAGAGATCTCGTGCCACGGAAGGGATGGGAGGCAGCCCAGGGGATTGCTTTCCTTACCAACAGAGGAGTCGGGAATGTGGACCAAAGCTCTCAGCGTGTACTGTGACGATTATCACCATAATTATCTCATCTGCTTTGTCTCAATGTTAGTGTCTCCCTGAAATTCCTATGTCAGAATGTGATTTCCAGGGCAGTGGTAAGAGGCAGGGCTGGAGGAGAGGAGCAGACAAGGCAGGCAGCCCTCATGAGCAGCGCTGGCTCCCCTAAAAAGGGTTCCCTGTCCTTCTACCTCAGGAGGACACCGCCAGACTCCACCATCCATGAGAACAGGCTGTCACCAGACTGGAATCTGCTGGTGCCTGGATCTGGGACTTCCCAGAACTGTGTGTGCCACAGATTTCTGTTTACGTATTTCCCAGTGGAAGGTGTTTTGTTATAGCAGCCTACTCGGACAGAGGCATCATCACCATTGTTATGAAAGTGCACGGCTGAGGTTCCTCACAGTTTCTGTGTGGAGCCAAGTGTGCCTTCTTAAGCAGTTTACTGCAAGCTCTTTTTCTCCTTTAGGTCAAGATCACTGAACTGAAATAGGTTGCTACTCAGGGAGAGATCCAGATGCAGACCGAGTTCCAGACATGTAGACGTTTTATCCCTAACTTGCTCTGCACCAACAGGAAATGCCAGAAACACACTCAGTTCAATACCGAGAGCGCCAGGGAGCTGGTCTAAGGAAAAGGGTGAAGGAAGCATGGGTCAGCCAAGGTCAGAGGGATAGGGACCGCAGGCTGGGGAGGACCCAGATCAGCAGGCAGGTGTGCTCAGAGAGATTGTGACAGTGAGCAGCTGGCACATCCCTCAGAGTCAGTAGGTGATGCCTGGCCCAAAACATTAAAGAAGCCGCAGCCTTGTTCTAAAAATGATCTGACATCACCAGGTGAGATGAGGGTTTTCTAAGAGAGGACAGATCTATTTTTACACCCAAGTAGAGGAATCAGGAAACCCCTCCTAGGTCCTCCTCTGAGATCAACAGTTAAGGGTAGCAATACCGTCTGTACCGGGATGGACGTGTTCCTGACCTGACGATTGCTGACCTGGCCACTCACTTTCTCTAATCATATTCTCTCACCGTCTTTGGGTTGAGAAAGAATGAATTGGAAAGACAAGGTAGCATGCCACCAACCATGACTGTGACCTGGAAGACCCCATGGTCATCACTGTGTTGATGGCCATTTCCAGGGTGGTGAAGGGCAGTTGGACAGAGGGTGATTGACTCCAAGGCCCTGGCTAATTGACAGCATGGAAGTCAGAAACAGGGGATCGCTAATGGAGAGCTTCTCTTAGGGACATGGAAGCAATATGTCCCAGGTTTATGTCTCCTCCCACAGTAACTACCAATAATTAACCCTTGCCTTCTGGAACATATTCCTCTTGAGATGATAAGGTATTTGGTGACCCTGCTTAGGGAGCACCAGTGCTTCACTACCATCTACCCTGGCACATGCTTTGGTAGGAACGGGTAACTGAAACAACCCTTAATTCATGACACCTCACTCATCCTCTAAGTCTCACACTAATTTTTAAACGTGAGAGCTCCTGTGCACATGCGCGCGCACTCACACACACACACACACACACACACACACACACACACTATATCTTCTCACAGTTAAATTCTTTCATTCAGCAAATATTCTTTTATTTGGCAAGAAAAATTGTAAAGTGAGCATAGGTTTTAGGAATGGATGACAAGGTTCAAATCCCCAGCACTGCATGTCTGACCTGCCTTGACTTGCTTAAAGAAAGTGTGCATCCAAGATGGAAATCACATGAGCTGGGCCCCCACTTTCAAGGTTCTGGTGCATAGAGGTTTTAAAAAATTCTTACTGGAGGGATAGTTAGAAGATATTCTGTATCATTTTATAAAATATGGAAACCTATTAAGCTATTGTAGCATTTAATAAGTGAAATTCAATGGGGAATTATATGTATGTCTACAATTCTAGTTCTTTCCTAAGACCATCTTTCTCTCGTACCAAAATGATCAAGATTTCACTACTAGCCTCTAATTTCATGGGCTTAAAAAGGCATAATTTGTCTTCATTTAGATTTAAATTTCCGTATTTTTCTGAGCTATCCAGCACTCGAGGAAGGAAACCAACATCCTGTGTGATTTCAAGGACCCATAAGTTGCCTAAAAGCCCCTCTCACAGTTGAGGCTGAAACTCCCCACAATGATCTTAGATGAAGCACCCCCTCTGCCGACTCCACAGAGTGCCTTTCCTGAGCCAGTGGGTAGGAAGTTGGCATGTCGTCATCGCCAACGAGCAGAGAGGGAAGAGGAGCCTTAGAAGTTATTTGGACAAAACTCCTCAACTAAGGCACGGCAGCACAGACACTCTGAACCCAAGTTCACCAGTCCCCACAGCTCTTTCCACTGTTGGGCACACTTCTTTGTCTCCACCCACCCCCTGAAACCACAGCCAGTCTCTCTGATGCCCATATCTCAGCCGCACTCTACCTTTGACGCTCAGCAGTGGTGTGGATAATTGATGTCGGGTGACACTGTTAGATAAATAGGGAAGTCTGGCTCCCTGAGTTCCCTCCCGGTCTCCCTCATTCCCTCCCTCCCTTTCTTCTTCTTTTCCTTCCTTCCTTAGTCCCTTCAACCCGCTATTTAAAAAAAAAATAAAAATAAAAAACAAAAGCTATCACAGACAGGCCACTTAGGAACAACAGAAACCATTTCTCACAGTCCTGGGGTGGAGGAGTTAAGATCAGGGCGTGGGCAGTGAGTGTCTGGTGAGAGTCAGCCTCGGGTTCACAGCTGGCACCTTCACACCCTGTCCTCAGATGGTGGGAGGGGAAGTGGGCTCCTCTGGTCCTCATTCAAGGACACAGAGTTCCATTCATTCGGGCTCTGACTCTCACCCAGTAACTCCACAGGCCCCTACTCCTGGCGCCCTCACCTTGGCCATTAGCATCCAACACTGGGACTAGAGCACCTCCTTTCTTACCTTTTCTCTCCTGCGTCCATCCACCCATCTTATCTATCATCCATTCATCCACTCATTCATCCGTGTATTAATTCCTCCATTTAAGTGACTTATTTTTTTGAACAAATATTTTATGGAGAGGAGAAAGAGATGAAGAGGGACGTTGATGTTTTGTTTGTTTCTTTGTGCTGCTTAACCCTTTTATCCCAAGACCACCTTGATATAAGGCCTGAAGTGAGAAACCCTCTGGCCCCTGATGTGTCACCACTGTGGTCTCTGAGAGAGCTGGCCATGGTACACTCTCGCCTAGCAGGGGGGTCACTCATGCAATTCAGTAGCAAACAAATTATTGAGAGCGAGTAAGGATGGAACAGAAGGTAATTTCCACTTACAAAACAATACCTTCTTTTACCTGCTTCTGAAAGGGTTTATGAGGTTTTGTTGGTTCGTCAGCTAGTTTTCCTACAGGGAAAGCTGAGGAGTGCAGAGGTGCAGGGTCATGCAGCAGGGCATGAGTCAAGGAATGACCCCCCAAACCCTGGCTTGGTGATGATTTCTTGTAAAAAAGCAAACAAACAAACAAACAAGAGTCATAATCTGGAATGAAAAGCCATTAGAAAATGTTACCTTAGGGCTGCGATTGTGGCTCAGCGGTAGAGTACTCCTCTAGCACGGGCGGGACCCGGGTTCGAACCTCAGCACACATAAAAACATAAAGGCATTGTGTTCTGTCCATCTACACCTAAAAAATAAATATTAAAAAAAGAAATAAATATTTTAAAAAGAGTTAACAGTCATTTTTATGTGTGGAGCTCAGTAATCTTAATCCCACAGAAGAAGCATTCACAAATTACACCAGACCCTAAACTGAGTATCTCCACTAGGAATGTGAGCTTTCCTCTCAGGTCAACTCCTCACTCTTCCAGATCCTCCTGTCGTTGATGAGCACTGAAGACAGAGCCACCCACAGACCCTGCAGGCAGGCCTTCCCACAACCATGAGGCTGCTGGCTCTCCTCCTCCTCCTTCTGGTCTGTCTCTTCCGTGGGGCCTCAGGTAAGCCAGCGATCCACCCGGCAGGGTGACGTGGCAGGTGCCATGGAGGCCGCAGTAGGACTAATGGACTCACAAGCCAGTGAGGCCTTGGGAACAACTAACTGGTTCAAAGCTACAGAGATGGCATTAGAGACACTCAAGCATGAGTTGGTTTAGTTCCAAGAACAATGCTTGTATTACACCCAACAGTCCCAGAAAACAGACTCGAGTGTGAACATGACCCGTGCAATACTTGGGACATCCTTATTCTGAAAGACTCTCACCACTAATCTGAACCTCAAATCTGACTGGGGCCTCCCCATTTTCCCTGTGACCCTCTGCGTGTTGACTCAGGGAGGTGGTACCATCATGGGAACCACGTCCAAATATTGGCATCTCACAAGAGCAGAGGCTGAATTTTTGCTCGTGCTGTGACTCCATCCAGGCCACAGGGCACTCTGTTCACTGTAGCAGATCAGACCTGGCTGGGGGTGCAGCTGCCACCATGAACACAGCTGGTCACTGTAAAGGGAGGAGCTCAGAGGAGTCCCCGTTGGCATCTGAGGGCTCCAGCCCTGAAGGGACTGATCACTTCTGCTCAAAATCACGAAGTAAGACCCATGGCTGTTCCCAGCTCAACAAAGATGAGACGTCAGTCCTACTGTGTGTCAAGATGATGGTTGGACCTGTTTGGTGAACAGCCTAATGGTGATGGGTGGAAGGATAGACAGACAGATAGACATAGGCTATATAGGTAGCTATATATGCATGTGGATGTAGACAGATATGCGTATATACCTATATATCCAAACACTCGAGTGTGTGGGGCCACCTGTCACCTCCAGCTCTCAACTTCAGGTATTATTTGAGTTCTCTGCTCTCGCTGCTGTCCACACTGTTCATTCAACCCTCTTGATCTCACAGAATTTTCTTCCCAGACAACACACAAGAGCACTAGGAGTCTGGTGCTCATCCTGTGCCAGGCACTTAGAGCCTCACGATTCCTGAGAAAACACTCGCTGCAGAGACCACGGCAGGCAGGGTCCGTGGCCTCGTGCTCCTCAGCGCTCTCATGCGCTCAGGGCTTATGGTGTCTCATGAGCTGCACCTGGGTCAGGCTTTGCCTGCTGAGGAGGGCCAGGGTGCCCTAAGGAGCTTGCAGAGAGAGGAAGCAAAACAGTCCTAACCCTGGGCAGTCTCATGAGGTGCTTTTTCTAATCCAAAGTTTCTGATCCAATAAGGAAAAAGACTGTGTAGGCCACAGTAGGTCACAAGCGTCCTCTGTGACACCTCGGGCTCTGAGGGCCATGTGGTGTCTGCCGTAGCAGCACATCTCTGCCTTTTGCAGGAACTCAGCCACAAAAATACGTGAGCACGCAAGCGTGGCTGTCTTCCTACTAAACGCTACTTAAGTACACTGAAATTAGAATTGCATAGACTTTTCAAACACTGTTCTCCTGAACTGCTTCCAATAATTTACCAATGTGAAAAGTACCTGAAGCTCCCGGGTTGTACCCAAACCCGCCAGCGTTCACTTGGGCCGTGGGAGCAGTCTGCCCACCCCTGCCAAGCAGGGACGAGTGGTAGTCTCTTTGGCTGCACAAGATTTCACTTCATTTCTTCATCCCTCTTTCCTTTGCAGCCTATGAAAAGAAAAAAGATCTTGAATGTGAAAAGTTGGGTGGTGCCTGCAAACACCAGAAAACCCACGGCTGCACCATCCTGGCTGCGGAATGCAGAAGCCGAAACAAGCACTGCTGCAGGCTGTAGCGGCAGCGCCCCAGGGAGGCCCCTCCTGCGGCTGCCCATGCACCCTCTCTGGTTTCTGCTCAATAAAGACACCACACGTCTTGCTGAGGGTGAGCTCCCGTAGCAGGCTGTTGAACTGGAGAGGGGAGAATTCAGGTCCTAGGTTTTGTCCCACCACTAGGGAAATGATTGAGGGGGCCTTTTCCTTTTCTAAGTGTCAGTTACTCTGCCTGTAACCACACAACTGCGTGTCCCCCGAGATACTTGTAAACTCTGATGTGCCTACACATCTGTGGACGTCGGGTAAGGGCGTTGACTGTGAGTTAGGTGGAGCAGTGGCACGTAGACACGACCCACAGGACCAGGGCTCAGAGGCCACCGGAACCCATCTGTGGACTGACGGAGGACCAGCACTTGGAGACACCTGATTATTTTCCTCTCAAAAAACAACTTTCCAATTGTGAGATTCCTTCAGAATCGACTTCTTAGAACACAAGAAACCCTTTTCAGCCCAGAGAAGGTTTGAACTTTGCAGAGAGTGCAGCACAGGGAAAGGGTAGCTTTTCAGAGGAGAAACGCCACCTTGGCCAGAGGATCCAGGCTGCCTTCGGCTGTGGTTTGGGGACGCGGGGTCCCGCAGAGGTGTGAGACAATGCAGCAAACTTCGACAATGCAGCAGACTTCAGGGATGAGGCGATTGGGGCATGAGCGTGTGGCCTGGTGAGTGGATTAATCCACTGATAAGGGTTAACTGGGTGGTAACTGTAGGTAGGCAGGGTGTGGATGGAGAAGTCATAGTCTTTTTCACGTCCCACTGAGCATATAACATCTTTGTTCCTGAACAGATTTTTGTCTTCCCTCTTCTCCCCTGGTAATGGCTGATTTCACTTGGTAATGAAGTAGGACCTATCATGAGGAAAAATATTGGAGTGATTTATTGTGGCCTTCCTTCATCCAGAGGCAAACTTCCCTTAGCTTAAGTATGATATCATCCCTGAGGAATTAGGAGGAAAATGAGTGCAGAGATATTAGGTCCATGTTAAGTGAAAAGCTATTAGTGATGAAATCAAAACTACCATCGGGAACCGGGCTCCCAGCCCAGGCCCCTCACCCCTGCCAGATCCTTCGCTGGTCTCTCTTTGTGGCCATGGGCTGTCATGGGATACAGTGAAACCTCTTGCACAATGTGGAAGAGCGGCAAGTTGGCCAAGGAACACGGTCCTCACACCAGTGATGACTCTGAGATTTAAGATTGAAATGAGAAATTCTATGATGTTCATTGGCTGATTATAAAATTCACGATACACCGGGGAAATGTGCCAAAATAAACAAGAATGTTTTTATAAAGAGAAATAATAGTGTCTTTCACTATCTGTCATTATAATTTAGATATTCAGGCTCAAAGTATGGAATGGTGATCAGGAATAGAAAAAAATCCTTGAGACAAGGAACATCACCCTCAGACCCATGTGAATGTTGGCATCTGACTGGGGAAAGGTGACTTGGCTGTCACTGGGGACAAGGGCAGTGGGCTGTTTGATAATAAATCAGGTAAGGTTTCATGACTGAGCATTTGAAGAAAAAAGATGTTATATGCTCAGTGGGACATGAAAAGGACTATGACTTTTCATTCTGTACAGTTTTTAGATCTGAATGTTTATAAAGAGTAATTATGCATTACTTACATAACTGGAAAATTAAGAAGCCTTGTTTTTATTATTGAAATTGATAAAATGTCAGAAGGATCAAACAGGTTTTAGTATAATATGATACTAAAATGCAAGAATATGTAACATTTATATTAGTAAAGGTGTGTAAAATCCTCCCTGTGATGGTGAATTTGTGACACCTTTTCTATAGCCGCATTTATTAAATACTTGGAGGTCACCTTGTTGAATGATCACAGACTTAAAGCTCTCCTAGCTCTCTGACAACGGAGATGTCTGTCGTGAGGCATCTTCCCCCTTTAACCTAGTAAGGTTTTCAGATGCTTTCAGCTGGCTCCTGTTTTGCAGAAAACTGAACTACACTGGCTGGCTTTTGGTTCTGGAATCTAGTCTGTTCCTTCACTTCCAACTGGTCCAAACTCATAAACTTTGTGTGTCTCTTAAATGGTGCATAGATAGAATGGGTTCTTTTACACACCTGATAGTCTCCATATTTCAGTTTTGTCTGTGTCCATGCACTGTGGTTACCAGCCAGGTGTGCTTGTGCCCATGCACTGTGGTCACCAGCCAGGTGTGCCTGTGCCCAGGCACTGTGGTCACCAGCCAGGTGTGCCTGTGCCCATGCACTGTGGTCACCNGCACTGTGGTCACCAGCCAGGTGTGCCTGTGCCCATGCACTGTGGTCACCAGCCAGGTGTGCCTGTGCCCATGCACTGTGGTCACCAGCCAGGTGTGCCTGTGCACATGCACTGTGGTCACCAGCCAGGTGTGCTTGTGCCCAGGCACGGTGGTCACCAGCCAGGTGTGCCTGTGCACATGCACTGTGGTTACCAGCCAGGTGTGCCTGTGCCCATACACTGTGGTCATCCACCAGCCAGGTGTGTCTGTGCCCATGCACTGTGGTCACCAGCCAGGTGTGTCTGTGTGTCTGTGCACATGCACTGTGGTCACCAGCCAGGTGTGCCTGTGCACATGCACTGTGGTCACCAGCCAGGTGTTTCTGTGCCCATACACTGTGGTCACCAGCCAGGTGTGCCTGTGCACATGCACTGTGGTCACCAGCATGGAGAGACTTGTTTTTATTTATTTTTTATTTTTTTAATTTTTTTTTAAAGATAGAGGAGAGAGAGAGAGAGAGAGAGAGAGGAGAGAATTTTTAAATATTTATTTTTTAGTTCTCAGCGGACACAACATCTTTGTTTGTATGTGGTGCTGAGGATCGAACCCGGGCCGCACGCATGTCAGGCGAGCGCTCTACCGCTTGAGCCACAAGAGAGACTTGTTTTTAATTTCAACCTATTTGTCCTCCTTTTTCTATGCTGAAGAAATAAACTTTTGTGCCTTTGTAAATTGGGGCCTTGTTTCTTTCTTGTATTCTTACCCCATTTTCTCCCTCCACTGGTTTTAAATTCATGTTATTTTTGAGGTTGTGCTTGAAATTCCACTAAATTCAGACACCTCAAGATTGTGGCCTTCCTTCAACGGGAAGCAAACTTCCCTTGGCTTTCTTAAGTAAATCTGAGGGTGTCGTCTGAATTTAACACACTAACTCCCCCAATCAGGAGGGAACTGAGGGCACCCTCTGGGCTCCCCGCCTCCTAACTTAACACTATTACTGCTTAATAATTTGGCACTCCTTTTAGTCACTAGGTATTGTCATTCCCATCATCATATGAGCAACACTGATAGAAACTTGCAGGAGCACAGCTTATCTGGACTCACCTGTGGGTTGTGGGTTTGTCCTGGTTCTCATTAGCTTGCTACCACTTTCTTCTGGGTGGTCTGCCATCAGCACAGTGATTCTCAAGTACGATCTGAAGCCCATGGAGAGTTCTCAAGGTCCCACTAGGGGCCATCAAAGTCAAAACTCATTCAATAATACTAATGCTATGATGGAATTTTCCTCTTAGACTCTCTTTATCTCACACACGTACAACTGAGTTTTCCAGAGGCAAGATGTGGGATTGTCGTAGACTAGAAGCAAAATCAAGCATAAGAATCCAGCTGTCATTAATCTCCAGGATATAAAAAGAACTCAAAAAACTTAACACCAAAAATCCACAAATAGCTCAATCAATAAATGGGCTAATGAACTGGACAGACACTTCACAAAAGAAGAAATATGATCAGTCAACAAACATATGACAAAATGTTGAACATCTCTGGTGGTTAGAGAAATGCAAATTAAAACTAATACTGAGATTTCATCTCACTCCAGTCAGAATGGCAATTATCAAGAATACAAGCAACAATAAATGTTAGCGAGGACGTGGGGGGAAAGAGACACTCATACATTGCTGGTGGGACTGCAAATTGGATCAACCACTCTAGAAAGCAGTATGGAAATTTCTCAGAAAACTAGGAATGGAACCAACATTTGACCCAGTTATTCCACTCCTCACTCAGTTTATACCCAAAGGACTTAAAATCAGAATACTACAAGAACACAGCCACATCAATGTTTATAGCAGCTCTATTCACAATAGCTAAAATATAAAATCATTCTAGAAGACCTTCAACAGATGAACAGATAAATAAAATGTAGCATATATAAACAATGGAAGATTACTCAGCCATAAAGAATAATGAAATTATGACATTTGCCGTAAATGAATGGAACTGGAGAATATCATGGTAAGTGAAATAAGCCAGTCCCCCAAAACCAAAAGCTGAATGCTTTTTCTGATATGTGGATGCTAACTCACACTAAGAGGGGTGGGGTGGGGAAGAATAGAAGTACTTTGGATTGGGAAGGAAGGGGGAATGGGGATAGGAAAGACAGGAGAATGATTCAGACATTACTACCCTATGTGCATTTGTGATTACATGACCAGTGTAATTCTACATCATGTATAACCATAAGAATGAGAAGTTATACTCCATACATGACATGTATAATATGTCAAAATGCATTCTACTATCATGTATAACTAATAAGAACAAATAAAAATTAAAATGGTAGAAAAATAATGAGTGCTTATTCTTTTAATAAGAATAAAACAATGGATACAAAATTCGAATATAAGTATACCATCTCAGTTTTTAATGTTATTAAATGTAGATAATGTAGGTATTATCTACATTTAATAACATTAAAAGGAAATTCATAACAATGTTAGCTAGATAAGGAAGCATTGATTTTTATCTTTTATTTCTCTGTTTTCTCAAGCCTTAAAATGAATATGTATTCTGTAGTCAACTAAGAAGAAACTTGGGGAAAAAAAATCACTCTTTCCTTAATGAAGACATTCGCCTTGTGTACTTCCTTTTTAAAAAATACACACTACTTTCTTTGTACATTTTTGACATGTAATTACATTCTTTCACGCTCATTTCCAATGGTTTCAATCATAT